CGGAGGGCAGCCGAGTCCTCCCCGAGCGCGGGCATGCCCGGTGGGGCCTCAGGGCAGCCTCGGCATCTTTCCCAAGCGGCGGCCGCCCCAGCCGTTGCTCCTTCTCTTTGCTTCTCCTGCACTTGGTTGATCTGCATTCGTCTGAAACGTGTCTGTCAGCAGAGGAGGAGAAGCGACCGCCCACAGACCTGTCGAAGCGGCGGAAGAGGGCCCCCCCCTTCCCAGGGACTGTTCTGGCCGAGTGGGAGTAGCCGACACCTTCGAAGGGGCGAGCTGGACCCTTCAGAGGCGACCCTCCTGGCGAGGATTAGAAGGGAGGGCAGCGCCAGCCTGCCGAGGGCTCTGAGCCCACGAGCTGTGTTCAGAGAGTTCAGGCCCAAAGGTGGTCGTCCCTCCGTGGTTCCCGAGCACGCCTCCCCGTGGCTCTCGCCCTTTGTGGTGGGCCTCCCAGCTCCGCTCGGTGGCACTCCTTCTGGGGTACTAAAGGGTCAGCAGGGACCCGCTTGGCCGCCTTGCTGGCCTTTTCACTGCCTTCAAGGTCCACCTGCTGCCTCTTCGCCCTCTTCTTCCTGCCAGTGTAACTCCCTGCTCATCAGGTGCCCTTGATCTAACAGCAGCCTCCCAGAAACCCTGGCCCAGGGAAGCCCCTTCAAGTCAGAACAAGGTAAACAAATCTCACCCTCAGCTGCTGCTGTTGCTGCTGCGCGAAAGGTGGTCCTCGGAGCCTGGCCAGCGTCTTCTCCTTGGGGCTTTGTCCAGCTGCACCCAGGAAGTGGCCGGCCGGAGACTCGCCTACAACCACCATCCCCCCACCCCATGCTAGAATCCAGCAGGTTTTTCTTGCAGTGCAAGTGTGTGGGAAGTGTTTGAGGCGGTCACAACCACAATGCAAGGATTACGAGTATTTGCTTACTGGGCTTCAACACTCCATCTAAAAACCTAGATTAGGCCATGGGCTAAGAAAGCAATTCTCTCTCCCTCTCTCACTTCCTGGACAGAAGTCCCTCCAAGCCTGTTTGCCTGACAGCCCCCACAGGGCAGATGGGGGCTGTGGGGAGTCTGGAAAACCTACAGGAGCACATTTGCTAGCCTGTCACCTGAAGAGTCTTGCTGGATTTTGGCTTTCACCCAGGCTGGATGCAAAACATGTCCTTAAGGCGCCTGGGGAGCAAACCCAGGGCTGGTCTTTAATCCTCCCAGTGGGGCTTGGGGCCTCCAGGCCTCTACCTGGAGAGGAGCACCGGGCTGCCTGGAATGAAGGGATCTAAGTGGGAATTTGGGGTGGGGTGGGGCTGACAGTCAACCTCCAGGCCAGACAAGGAAAGCAACCTGCTGGGACCCTTGGAGACCCTCAGGAGGAGGGGTGGCGCAAGCCTCTCTCTCAGTCTGTGTGGGTCGAACCCTCTCGGGAGAAGGAGGGAAGATCAGTGCCAGAAGGGTTTTCGGCAGCTTGCTAAAATATGTAGGAGGAGACCCAAGGGAGAAGCAGATGTGCAGAACCCTGCAGGGTTCTTTTGCGGCTTGGGTGTCCCTGCAAACCTTTCTGAAGGCTTCCCTGCCTTGTTCTGTCGTATAACATGAATTCCCAGACTCTCTGCTCATTGCTTTCCCCGGGACATCATTTGAACTTTGTGCTACAGCATCGCAAGGGTTCGGAGAGAGGGGCAACATAGGGTGCCCCCTCTTGCCTTTGGTGGGGAGGTGAAGGCAGGCCACGGAGAACTGCCCCTGTTGGGGGCCACCTGCCGCCTACCCCAGTGTGGCTGGGACCGCTCAGGACTCCGTGCAAGGTCAGAGGGCCTGCAGAGCGAGCCTCTCCCAGCAACAGCACCTTGCCCTTCCCTCTTCCGGCCTGCAAGGAAGCCGCAAGCCACCCCTTTTGAATTGAAATTTCCTTTTATTTGTTGGGTTGAAGGTTCTCCAAACAGAACAAAGAGCAAACAGACCACGCTCTCTTCTCGGGGCACCCGAGAAGATGATTCAAGCTCTCCTGGCCCAATAATGTCATCACAGGCCAGAAGAACTTGTGACTTCAAGGCAGACGGCTGCCTTCCTGGCACAGCTTCTGGCAACAGGGGCGCCAAAGGCAGGAGGAGAGCCTTCCGGAGGTGAAGGAACAAGGACCGAGGTGGGGAGCCAACAGGAAAAAGAAGCTGGATTCGGCCTTGTGGGCCGCGCCCCTCTCACAGCGAGGCCACCCACTGGGGGGGTGTGTGTGTTCCTCCAGAACCTGGAGCTTGCTTGGCAGGAGGAGGTGGCCAGGCGATAAGACCACAGAGCGAAAAGCAGGAGGTGCTCCCTCTTTTTTGGAAAAGGGAACGGTGCAGGAGCCTCTCAGGGGAGCTTCTGGAGAGGGGAGGATGTGGAGGATTCCCCCCCTCCCACTTGCTCTTGCCTTCTGGGGCAAAAAGGTGGGCCCGCCCTAGGGAAGCTTAACGGGACAGGCCGCCCTGTTCCGACCACCCCTTCTTTCAGAGAAGAAGGCAAAGGCTTCCCTTTCCCCCTCAAGCGCGAGGAGACCCTCACATTCCTCCTGCAGCAGAAATGTCCCCTGGCCTCCCTTCCCGAGGGCAGGACGTGGCTTTGGAAGCCGCCGCAGAAGCCTCAAGAGACAGGCAGCAAAAGGTCCCGCACGGCTGACATGGCTAAAGCCTCGTGACAGACAGATGGATGCCGAGCTCTGCACGTGGTGGAAAATGCTGCCGGTGTGGTTGGGAAAGGGGGGGGGCAAGAGGCCCACCTGCCAAGACCTTTGGGAAGCCACCTGGCCCTTTTCTCAGGCGCAGGCTCTGTTCCAGTTCACAGCAGAGGAGGAGGCAAAAGCAGAAGGCTCCCCCCCCGCCTGCCTCCCCCCCCGTCCCCGCAAGCTGAGGGTAGCCCCTCACTTCCGAGAAAGCCTGGCAATGAGTCCCTTCCACTCTTCCCTCTTGCGTGTGATGTAGGCGGGTGTGAGGAGTGGCAGGCCTGGCTCTTCCTCCTGGCCCTGGAAGAGTTCCCGGCACAAGGCCTCCGCGTTGCAGATGACGTACATCCCGCAGTCGTAGCTGTTCTGCTGGGAGGGGGCCGCCTCCTCCACGAAGGCTGCCCGGCCCCTTTGGCCCAGGAAGGGCTCCAGCTTGCCCGCCACCCTCCTGGCGTGGGCCGAGTTGCTCTCGGGGTGGGAGTCGTAGTGCGCAAAGCGGCCCTGGTCTCGGAGGTAAACAAGCAGGCTCCAGTGGCTGCCCCCGGCCCCCTGGCTGGCGTGGTCGTTGATGGGCAGGAAGACCACCCTCTTGCGGGGGAGGCCCAGCGGCTCCAGGAACAGGGCCAGCTCCTCTGGGCTGGAGGTGCACTTGATGAACTGAGCCACCTCGGGCCCCACAAAGCACACCTGGTCGGCAAAGTCCCGGAACTGGTCGCCCGCAAAGTACTCGAAGGCAAAGCCGATGACGTGGTCGTTCAGCCAGCAAGGGGGGTCGAGCAAGAGGACGTCCGACTCTCTCAGCAAACTGTCCATGTAACTGAGAACCACTGGGTCCATCCTAAGCAGGCAGAGCGACGCCAAGACCTGGAAAGACCAAGGGGGGGGGGGGTTAGGAAAGAGCAGGTGAAAGTGAGGGAGGGGGTGGCGTGGTGCTTGCCAGCAGAGGCCCCTGACGGTCTCGCCTCGCTAGCCATTCTCCGGCTGGGCTCCCCCTGGGCCTCCTCAAAGGAAGAGGCAGGAATTTCTCCCCTGTTTGTGTGTGTCCGGATGATAGGAAACAATGGGAGAAGAACCCGGCTGTTTCTTATCTTGGCCAGCAAGAAAAATCCATGTGAGATAAGACCCTGAAACACACACACACACACACACACACGTGCACTCCAGGGACAGGCTGGAGAAGAGCGTGGGAAACGGGGTCCTGGCCGGCTGAAGCTCTTGCCGCCAGGATCAGCAAAGCTATGTTTCTCTCCTGCCAGGAATGCTCCTTCTAGCTGGGCAGAAAGGCAGAACTCCGGCCCCAGGGCTGGGGGGGAGGGGAGGGCGACAGGTACCCCCTCCCTCCCAAGTGAGTCGTTCTAGTGCCCTCCTCTGCCTCCCCCAGAAGCAGGAAAGCGGGACAGACTTCACAACCGCCTTGGAGCCCAAGGCTTGTTCGGCTTAGCACCCATCTGCCGAAAAGGGAGAAAGAGACTGACTCGCCCGTCAGAAGCCAGTCTCCGTCACAGGGAATGTTGGTTTTAAAACCCGGGTGGCAGGAAACAACGGCCCTACAGAAGCCCCCCCCCCGAGCGACCAAGGAGCATTCTTTTCTGAACGCGCCCAGAGAACAGGGGCAGCCTTTCTTCCAACAAACCCACTCGGCTGCAGGAGGGGGACATTCCACGGCCGCCCTCTTGAACTCAATAGGCCTTCTCAGGGTTGGTCTGCTGGCGGGAAGGAGGCATGGCCCTGCGGCCGGGGGTGGGGGGTGGGGGAGAGAAAAGAGGCCTGCTGCTCACACACACAGGAGCAGCAGCGCAGATTCCTCCACCCTCATTCAGCCCGGCCCAAATAAGCCCATGCTCTGAGGGAGGGGTGAGGAGAGGGTTTCAAAAAGCACCCCATGGCCCAGCGCACCGAAGCATGGGCAGCCGGGGGAACTTCTGTACATCACTCAGGGCTGCACTTTTCAGAGGTCGCTCTGTGTTCTGCAACACCCTCGAGTTCAGGCTGACCTCCAGCACCCCAGCTGCCCGCCTACTTTCTCAAACCACTGGCAGTGCTTCCAGAAAAATCTGGGAGGCCGTAGGAAACCAGCTAGAGTTCAGTTAAGAGAGGAGCAAGGGAAGCATGCGCCTGACCACTGATCTCAGATCAACCAGATTTAACAGCACCTTTTTCTTTCTAATAGCCTTAGAAATGTTACCTTAGCTCTACACCTCCTTTTTAAGTTAATTTTACTTTCTGGGAGTCGTAATGCAAAATGCCAGGCTTCCAAGCTCTGGGAAGCAGTGCTCTGAAAGCCCAATGACCGTCTGATCCTCGGAAGTCAGTGCCACTGAGGGGCCCATGGGGCTTTCCCCTCAAAGCAGCACAAAACAGATGGCAGCCCTGAAATTACTGGAGCTGAGACAGCATGTTCTGTAAATATCAATGTAGATCACACGGGATCTGGTCCACCCTCCTGAAAGTGCGCCAGGGAGAGTAAACATGGTCCCCTTGGTGTGACTAACTGCAAACAAGGGAACACCCATCCCTTGCCATCAGTCAGAAGGAACTCACAGGGCCTGGTTTGTTTACTCACCAGGAGGGAGGGAGGGAGCAGGAAGCGTTGCCTCCCGGAAGAGCCAGCCTGCCATTCAGGAGGCCCTCAGAGCGGCTGCTGCTCGGTAGTGGTGGTGATGTGTGGTGGCGGCGGGGGGGAGGGGGAACAGCTGGCATTGCCCAGCTTTAGAAGGTCAATCATTCAGCTGAATTGGCGATTTGGTCCAGAAAATCAAAATGTCAGGCATCCCTCTACCTGCAGGCGTCTGGTGCCGCGACACTGAGAGGGAGGTGGAAGGCATACCCCTCCGAAGCATCTCGGAGGGCAACCTCTATTGGCAGCATGTTCCGGGGAGGGGGGGAGGCAAGGAAAGGGGTCACGGCTTCCGTTCCTACCCCATGGGTATAAATACTTGCCAGCGAGCAGAGTGGGCACCCCATGCCTCTGAGGAAGGAGGCCCCTCGGAAGGAAGCTCAGAGGCATGACTTGCGAGCAACAGCTGGAGTCTGAGGCAGCTGGGAAACATGAACAGCCAGGCTATCCCATCTTCAGCCTCCTCACCGTACCAGGTTTCCAAGATCACTTAGTTCTCCCACACTCCACTTTCTTTAATGCAGCACCACAAGCACTTGGGAGGGTGACAGCCGAGTGCTTAAAAGGAGACGCTGTAGATGCTAATTCCAGATACATAGGGTGGGAGCTATGCTCTGGGGAAGGGAAGCTTCCTTGAAAACCTTTCCTGTGTTAAAACTGATGCTGAAACATTGAAGAGTGCCCAGACATCCAGAAGTATGCGATAAAGCTACTGAATAGCGAATGACCTATTGAATTTGGCTCAAAGAATCCGCTTGTTTCCAGAACAACATCTGTTGCCTCTTGCAGCTCTCAAAAAGGGAGGATCTTGCTTTTCTTTCTAGAGGTCGAGGGCAACCAACTTCTTCACCGTGAGCAGAGTCCTGGCATTCCACAAAACTCCCTTCTGATGCCAGCCTGGCTAATGATTATTGTCAAGGAAGCGCAGAGGAGAGGCAGAAAGGCTTCTTTCCTTCCTTCCTTCCTTCCCAAAACGGATGCCCTGCTCCCATGAGGACGAGGATCGGGCCTTCGGGGACTCACAGAAGTGGCCTTTCGGGGTCTTCACAGGGCAAACAACGGCAAGTCTCCTGCTGGCACAATTTCTTCCCATCAGCCAAAGAGGCCCCCCCTGGCCCTTCTCTTAGCTGCTAGTCAAAAACCTTTGGATGGCGACTCGCCCCTGAATCCAGCATCCAAAGAAAATCCTTGTTCGACACCACCTGCTCCGTCCCTCTCCCTGGGAGCTGGGCTAAGTACCACCCGAAGGAGACAAGAGCGCCTACAATTAGGGTTGGTGTGGGGGGGGAAGGGGCTTCCTGCTTCTGGATCTGTTATTACAAAGGCCCAGAATGGGAACGGAAATCTTCCTCCAGCAACGCTGGGGCATCATCAGGATCCTTCCCTGACTTCTTCTCTGACAGGTGGTCTGTCATGGGCAGCCCTACTCTTCCCCTGAAGGCACAGCAAGGCTGACTCCTCCGGCCAGGCCTCCCCTCTCCCCCCCTCCCTCGGCAGCACCTCCTCTGAAAGACGGTAAGCAAGGGATCTGCCTTTGAAGGCTGCCCAAGCAAAGCAGCCGCCACCAGCTGCTAGAAGATCACCCGAAGGGATCAGCCAACCAGAGCAGATCACACCCGTTTCGGAACAGGCGCCTGGGCTTCCAGTCTGTTTCCAAGGGCAGTTCGAGTTCCAGTTTCCCCCTCCCCAAGATTACAATCTGCCCATAAAACCGTGGGGGGGGGGGGCTGCGGCGACCTCTTCTTCAAATTCTGCCTGGGATGGAGGCCTCAGGCTCCTCTTTCCTGCAAGCTCAGTTTGGGTTTTATGCCCCACTGAACTCAGTAGGGCTTCTTTTGGGATTTCCAAACTCCTGTCTACTCTGCATTACTCTTTCCCTCCAAAAAAAAATAAATAAATAAAGGCTCTGCTTCCTTTTCAGCATTTATGCCCGGAGGGGGGGGGAAGCGGCTCTGGGGACCCGAGGAGGAGGAGGAGGAGATCACCAGATCCAAGCAGGGGATCCAGCAAAGGCGG